GTTCTCCTTTATTTCTTGTTTTGGTATATTCCTCTTTTCTATTATCTTATCTTGGTTTTAGTATTTCTCTTCCATTTATATTGTCCTTTTCCTTGACTTCTTGATTGCGACTTCCTTGACTGTTCGGTTAAGTGTAGCATATCATTTTGTGGAAACTCACTCATAAAGTTGTATTACGAAAAACATTAAGTCAGAGAATTCAAAATATTTTATGAGTTTCCACAAAATGATGCGCAAGCCTTACCGAAACTGTTAAATACTTTTACTATTAATTATTTCTTGTGGTGTAGACATCGATTCTTTCTAGTCCTCCGAGCATCAATCATGTCATAGTTGCACCTCAAGTTATTTGTGTTTATATTCGTATTTATTTGCGCCTTACTCATTTTACAAACTACATTTTTCCACTTTACACGAAAAAAATTAAACCAAAGAGTTTTTCTAAATTTACGTATTTTTTCTTTATTTTCTATAATATTAAATCTATTCCCCCGTAAAAAAATTGAAAATTATCTAAAATCGAACGGATCGCCGCGAAAGAGTATGCTTATTTGTTAGGTTCAAATCGTAATCGCGAATACTGTGAAATTTAAAAAAAGACGAAGAAGGAAAAAATAGAAGAAACAACGCGAAGACGCAATGGATATTTGCTTCCGGAAAGTGACATGCGGATTTCGTCACTTCCAAGAGAATCGTTCCAACTCTGTTTCCGGCAGCGTCTATAACACGACGGTTAGAGCAGATAATTACAAAATTGTAACAACCGTTTAACGGCTGCGAGAAACACGGTGCTGCTACAGATTCACGCGCGGGAATAAAGAAGATAAGGACCGACCACGCGTCAGATCGTATGCCGATGCGAAACGACGCGATGCGACGCGACGCGACGCGACGCAGTGCGGGCCCAGGTAAGCGTCCGCACGAGTGCATCACGCAGCAGACTATGCTATAAATAGATCGCGAAGGTCAGGGGAATCAGCAGTTTTCATGTAAATGCGCTGTAGATTCAATAATGTGCGGCTTCTTTCAGGAGCCATCACGGATCGTCCTGGCTACCGTGATCTACGATTCGCAAAATTCCCGAGCGATATGAATTTCTCGCACAAATCTCACGCACTTTCGCCATTTGCGTCGTTATCGAGATGTCACTCGATCTCGAGTGGAAACCGTGCATTTAAACGTCCCCGCGTGACCGCACAGTGAATGAACAAACGGACCCGACCGCGGATCGATATATCATCTCGTTCGGTGCTGCTATCAACAGATGGCTGCAGGCGTATGCAAGGCGGGCACGCACGCACGCATACAATCGCGTTACATGTCGAAAAAAAACTATTTGTGCATTAAAATAATTACTACTGCATGTATATTACGTAACAGTATGAAACTAACCGCAAATATCAAGAGACACACTCGCGCCAAGTGTACACGCACCGGCATAAATGCTGTCCCTATCCTTGTGAGGTGCACGCATACAACTAGAGTCCCTGCAGTTGTGTGCGTGCACCTCACAAGGATAGGGACAGCATTTATGCCGGTGCGTGTACTTGCCCGCGGAGCAAGTAATGAGACACAAGCTAATTCTGTTATCATTCTTTTCCAATACGTCTTTTATTCTATTGTTCGAATATACGATTGTTCACATCGCGAAAGAGGATGGAAATGATATGCGGAACGCGTCTCAAAATAAATCTAAATATCACAATTACAATTGCATTTCAATTAATTAAAACTTTGTACTTTTTTTCGTACTCGTATTCTCTATAGCTTCTTCTTCATTTTTCAATTACACTTAAGTAGATATCTTTTATGTCATGTTTAAACATTTTTTATTTCCTAAAACTTGTATCATTAATTCTGTTTTTTACTTGGTGCAATTTTATAATTTCACCAGATTTTTTAATAGATGTTTTTTTCTACAAAATTATGAAACATTAACTATTTTTCAAATATTTACTTGAGCGTTTTTTATGCAAAAATCAATTATATGTTCATATCGCAATAGAACCATTTAATATTTCATTGGACTAATATCAGAACATTCTTGTACAAAATTTATTTCTATTTATTAAAATATTTTTGTAATTACTTTATTCAGCATAAAATAGTTTTGCTTAACAGTTTATTTTTGACGGGCGCGTATACTTGCGTGTCATTTTACCTCTTTTTAAAAAGGTAGCTTTATATTGATTATACAAAACGTTCAACTACGAGGCATATTTAATAATAATTTAGATTTTTATGTCATATTTTCCCTCAACTTCCGTTACGTAAGCGCAATGACATCATCGCGGTGCAATCGATGGGATAAATTTATACTGTCGAAATAATTATCATTGTCTCAGCTGTTGGCGTACTTCACGGCAGCGTCAACCTTTCTTTCTGCCTCGAATTACTCCAAGGAAAAAGGATTTGCACGGGCCGGAAAGTCAAGAAACCTAAGCACGTTGAGCCACGGGAAATTAGCCTCGGCTCTTCAAATGCACGGCCGTGTTTGCCGCGAAGTCACGAATCCAGCTACTTAACAACATTCCGGTAATGCCGATCGTATAGTTGCACCACCTGCAGCTCGTACGCACACACGCGTGCACGCGCGTACGGCTCGTGAATTTTGCTTTGACGCCGCCGCTTCTTTGCGTTTCCTCTTTCTTTTCTTGTCGTGCGGCGATTAAAGTTATTGGCGTTCCTGACCGTAAACCTGTGTAAAGTAATCTCTCGGGGCGAAACGGATTGGTACTACATTCGAGTACGTCGTGCCTCGTCAATGCAATTTGCATTACGACATATCGTGCAAATCGAAAGTAACACTTCAACATCGAATATCGCTATCACAGTGCCGGACACGGATGTCTTCGCTACGTATCGAAGGGGTGTATTTACGATCAACGGAACACACATTTTTATGCCTGGAATAAATTTATAAATTTTCACGCGTTTGACATACTTGCCGAATAAGGAACAGTAAATCGAATTGCAATTCAGCTCAATTGACACGCCCATCCATCATCGAAAAAGAGTTCCTCGACTTGCAATAGCGCGCGCCTTTTAATTCGCGAATATTAGGAACTTATTCGTAACTGGTGTAAAACTGGACGGCCAAATGACATCTCCCGCGAATTTTATCTCATGAAAATCGTCGTGATGCCAAGGATCCCAGTGAAACCAAGTGGCAAGTCGGTCCGCGACGGAGAACCGCGCGGTTTTATATTATTAGAGGTGTGACACTTTCATGTTATTTTTTGGCGTTCTCTTGCGTTTCGTTTTTCCGGATTTTGCATTATTTTGATAAGGTTTTTGATAATGCCGTGGTCAGAGGTGGACGGGGCTTCAATAAGACGACTTAATGTTTTGATAGAACAAAAACATAACATATTAAAATAGCATGGAACAAATTACTGAAATCACATATCATTTTGCAGTCTATAAAAGCAGTAACATGTCTAAAAAAAAGTAAACAAAAACAAGTCTTAGGCATAAATCTTTTCGGTATAGCCCTAAAATTCAGCAAAAAGAACTGAATGGTAACATTTCGCAATCTCTAGCAAAATTATTGATATCAAAGTAACAAGAAAAAGGTATTAATCCTTCAAATACAATATTTACTGGCGGCTGCAGAGTTGACTTTGAACAATTTCCAACCCTCTTTTCTGATACAAGTGATACAACATTGGCGTTAGAGACGATTGCTAAGGAAAATTACGATTTTTGACGTTAGTTAGACGCCATTTTGCGTTATTTTGCGTTTTAAAAACATGTTAAAACGAGGTTGGTGACTGTCATGTCTGCAAAATGTCAAAAAATGACATTAAAAACGTTTCTGGGGCATTTTGCAATATTTTGCGTATAAAGATAACATCAAAATGTTCACACCTCTATATATATATATATAATTATGGAAAGTTTCATACGACTTTAGTCACCGAGAGGACTCGTCGATATAAATCCTTTCCGCGATTAAGTCGAAGCCACCGGCTGAGTCCATCAGATTACGACACGCGAGAAGAGACCCCGACCGCGACATAAGGACACCCGCTCCGCAGACACGCTCCGGACGCACGGGAAAGTAGTACTTGAACGTCGAGAGACCTCCAGACTAATTTATGTTAATTCGCAGTGGCGAGAAAAAGAAACGAGCACGCGAGCAATCGACAGGGAAACGGGGTAAAAAAAAAAAGAGATTGAACGTACGTTGTAGTCTGATTTTCTGTTCTACTTTCCAAATATATTAACACAATAAAGGTGTTACAAAAGTTCAGTGAGATTGGATAAAGGCACCTAATATCGCCCAGCACGAAATATATAAATATATATTGAGATTAATCTAAGCGAACACGTGTGCAAATCTCGGTGCCGTCGACAGTAATTGATCTTTTCGGTGGGATAACAGAAAGAGAAGACCGGCGGCGAGCGGGAAATGTAAATAGCCCTTCCCATGGCACGCGAGGGACAAGAGAACGCATAAGCATATGGAGCCCACCGCAATGTTTACTTTCACCTAGTTTCACTCGCCAGCTGCAGAAATCCCACCGGAAATTTGTATGTACGGATTCTTTCGATCGGAGAGGTCCGCTCGCGGCACGCATAGATTTCCGAGCGCTTTTTTCTTGCCGGTGCATCCCCGCCGTCCGAGTGCTTGTCGCGCGTGTCTCCGCTTCCGGCGAATTATTTTCTCTCTTTCGCCACTGCAACCGTCCGGATTCTTGCGCTTCCGAGTACGGAATGCCAAAAGATATTTTCCCCATTATGTTTTGGCTTTCTTAATTATCACTGACACGCGAGATTGTTACTTTGAATTTAAAAAAATAAGAAATCCAAATTTTCTTTCAGAAGAGAAATTAAATTATGAGTATAACATTCCAAGCTTCTAAATACATTTATGAAATCAAAAGAAATGTAAAAATCTGAACACATGCGCGCGCGCGCGCGCGAGAGAGAGAGAGAGAGAGAGAGTCGACAGAAGCTCCGTAAAACTAAGGATAGTTTTAAAAGTGTTTACTTACGTAAGAAAGCATTGGCAGGTTTCTGCTTTCTGAGATTATTGCTTCAACGTAGCACGACCCCTCTGGACCGAAGAATGCCACAACCCCGTCGCAGATCATATCGATCATTGCTCGGGTAGCCTCTACAGTCTCTCCCCTCGTGTCGCTCCATCGCGGCACCAGGTTCACTCTTGGCAAAAGGTTTGGATCGCTGTTGATCTAAAACACATGAATAACCGTCCACACACACAATCAGACAATCCATTTTACAAAAGAATAAATGCGCCACAAAAGACGGGGGGAATTTCTGATCTTGATAAAAGATATTTGATATTAGATAATTCGCATTAAACGCCCGATCATGAAAATACGAAAGAAAGTAAAGATAAATCTCAGGTAATTTTAGGAATTGTCCGGGAATATTTGTGTAGAGTTTGCGTTTACTACGCGTGTGGGCGTGCATCATAAGTACACGGAGAGTCCGATATGGTTACCACATGTCTAATTACGGTTGGCATAACCCCAATATATACCAATATTTCGGACAGCTATATCTGTGGTTGTCATACCCATAAGTAGTGGAGACAACCACATGCGCCTTGTGCAGCAAACTGATTGTTAGTAAATGTTGCAACACAAAACAATGTAGATGCCCCTACTATTTATACAGCAACATTTTGATTTTAGTTATTTTTGCCTTAGCCGGTCTTTCCGTGTAGCGAGAATAAGTGCCTATCATACAAAATAATTCAAATCTGTTGGCACAATTTCGAACTATAATTACTTCGACAAATAAAAACAGTATGTACTTTCGAGTAAATTCGTGTGTGTGTGTGTAATTCACGAGTATTTTATAAAATAATATATTTGCATAAATTATTACATTTAAACAAATTAAAGTGTCTTATTAACCTTTTATGGAGAAAAAGGAATGTAATAATTTAACACTAAACAGAAAAAGAGATTGTTATAAATTTGCTATTCCAAATGGAAGAAGAGAAGTATTACGATTTTATTAGCTCTCGATCGAGGGGGAAACCGCTGAGGGCATTGTGGTGTACAGATTTGCGGCATTACCGGGCATTACTAGAGCATTTTTGGGGCATTACGTCTTGCTGAGGCATTATAAAGATAAAATAAGATACAATAAGATAAAATAAGATAAAACAAGATAAGTAAGATAAAAGAAGATAATAAGATAAAGTAATGCCCACTGGGCATTAGTAGGCATTGGTGTACAAGATTTTGGTCAGCGGTTTCCCCCTCGCTCTCGATGAAACAGGGATCGTTCTGAGTTTGGATCGTATGTTTGCATTTCACATTTCACCCTTCAACCCTTCAATCCTTCAACCCTACAACTCTTTGTTTACATTCCGGTCCCCCAGGACGTACCTGGACAATAAAAAGCGTTCCATTCCAAATTTCCCCCAGCGTTTCTGTTTTCAAGGCGGACGTTCAAAATATTTTATCTACACCGAAGAGAACAAAAATAATCCGGGATAAAATCACGAAACGGACTCGATGGGAAGAGCCCATAAGCCCATGGCGATGATACAGTGAAGAGGAGGGAAGTTGCTTTAGTACTCTCAAAAATGTTTCATCGAGTTCCGTCCAACATCTGCTCATTTCGACGATTATTCCCATCGAGGGTGATTCCCTAGCGGGGAACGCAAGTAAAGAGTCCGATATTGATGCGGAGTTTGTTTTAAATAATGTATTTTGGGACGTTATTCCGGGAAGGTTCTTAGTGTTAGTTGTAGCATGTACCACTACGCTAGCACTACAGGTAACTACACTGAGAAAAATGTTTGATTAAATATAATCGGATGATCCAATTACATTATAACAAGCGGATATGTCCGATTAAATTGTATATCCGAGGAAAAATGTGATCATTTTTCAATCAAACGTCGGATAAATTTCATTAAATCTATCCATAATTTAATCGAAAAAATTAACCATCGGGCAGACCATTTAATTGGTTTACTTGATGAAAATTTTCTCAGTGTATGCTTCAAGTTGGAGGTAATCGGCACAATTTTCTTTCCATTTTATTTATTTTATATTTTGAAGCAATGAGCGTTTATTATGCCATAATAATCATGTACTTTGCAATTATTCGATAAAAAGTTTTGTTGCAGCGAATTCTTTACGAGTCTACGACGAAATTTATCGATCAGCGCGACAACAGTTGCGTAAGAACCGCCCGTGGTGTACGTACACGCGTCAGCCGTAACGGCAGATGCCTTTGATAATGTTTTGTTAGCTTTTACAAAAAGACTAAAATTCTTAGACAGATTGTAAAACATTTCATTTTCAGGATTTGAGAATGTGGCCACACACTTTATAAAATGCCTAGACCATCGGGTAAAACTGCTGATTAACCAAAATCATGTACCTACATACATACACCAATGCCTACTAATATCTACTGGGCATTACTGCCAAATTTGTTATATTATGCCCACTGATGTCCTAGTAATTCCCAAGTAATGCCTGAGCAATATTTTTATTTCTTTCAATAATAGTAAAATAAGAAATATACAGGGTGTTATGTAATACCCGCATCAACGCTTATTGTGGGATAGAGTGGACTAGACTAAGTCGAAAAGTCCTCTACCATTTTGCAATTTTCGCAAAAGTCAGCGAGTTATTAATTATTAAAAATCGCTGTCTTAGGCCGGCCCACTGCCCAATTCAAACGTGCGGCGAGATCGATCGATCGATCGTTACTAGGCGCGCAGAGAGTTGTAACGATCGATCGATCTCGCCGCACGTTTGAATTTACTCTTTAGTCGAGACGTTTTATAAAACGACGGAATTTGTAATCTGGCTATGACAGATGCAACACTAATAACGTTCCTTATTTGCCGGTGCTCATTCGTACGACGCATTCGGTATATCCGGCTCGCGTCCATATAATGCGCTCGCGTTGTCGTTATGCGAATCTCGATTCCAGCGAACAATAGTTTTCCGAGTAGAAACACTTCACCGGCGGGCCAATTTACATGGCCGGCAATGCGAGTTGAAATTATAATCGGCGGCATGGCCATTGAAAAGTTCGTACCTACATGCAATAAATCCTATCGCGGGCCGCCGTAGCTATTGCATTGTGCGGCACAAGCGTTTAGACCAATATATTTGTGTATCGGGCTATTCCCCATGTAGCCGACGGAATAAATATTGGTATTTAAAGTGTGCCGCACGTGTGTGGACGCGGTTAGGTCGCGATACACATGACGGCGTATGAAAGTTGCCGATTAATATTAACGGAACTCAGTCGGCGGTGTTCAAATTGCGCGATTTCGCGAAGAAAGTATTCGGTTCATTCACGATGGAGACGCGGAGATATCTCTCTTTGATTGCACGAATACCTACTCGAAACTCGGACAGTTTTACGATACAATCTGAACGCGCTGTAAATATACAGGCATTAAAACGAGGTGTCGATTGTTACATATTATCGTAAAGAGTGATCTATGCGGGTAATATTTCCGAAACGCGAAACAATCTTCAAGAATATTTCAAAAACATTTTTTTATTTGTCAGAATCTTTAAAAGTACGAAACAATTTACTGCAGGGAATTAACTAGAAAGTCACTAATTTGACAATTGGATTTATTGCAAATTACTTATCTACCATTCGTCTACTGGCCAAACATTCCACGATGTAAACGATGGCACGTTAATGGCTTACACGATGGAATTCGTGCCTAATAATTATATTAATGCCCTGGATCGAGATTAGACATTCGCATGAGACGCATTATAAAATCACACGCTATTATGCATTCATGGTATTTCCTGTACAATTTATTACCGCTATATCCAAAGCGGGAAGATTGCCAGTAGGAGGGTTCGCGATATCTCGTAATTATCTTGTACGATAAATTTACACGTTCTAAGGCACACGCGTGCTTTGCGGAAATTTCTTAATAGAGAGAAAGAGGATGAATGATAACACTAACCGCCTAGGCGAAAGAATGATGACTTCATCACAGTTATTCGCACGAAAATTAAATGTTTGCGGAAGAAATCACCGACGTAATCAATCGGACCATCGAATAAGGTGACATAAATTACTGAAACATGTAAATGACAGAAAGGAACAAAGAGAATAAAATAGTAAAATACGTAAATACATGGATAAAATTAAATTTAGACGCTATATCAGTCGGCACAGTTTATCCTATTGATCCACAGATTTTTGCAACATAACGTGATAAAAATTTGTTACTGACGATAATAATGTAAATTTAACATTTAGTTTATTTATTGGTGCATTTTTTAATTAAATGTACCCACACGATATTTAATAAACGAGAGCGCATGTGAATTTATGAAGTTTAAATTTTCAACGCGCCACTTGCAATAAAAACGTATTGCCTCTCTCGTCGAATATTTCGCGTCCTTAATTCGTAGCTGGCAATAATTAAATTGTTTGTTTGGCGTCTAATAAAGAAATGTAGCGTGGGTTGCGTGTATATCATAATTGCGTTTATTCGTAAGTGCTATTCATCAAAGGTTTTGTTTCATATTTTCCAACTTCACAATGCCCGCGCATTTATGTCTCGCGAAAGAGACTACATGCAGCAGAAACATTTCAAGGGGTGTGCATTATACAATACCCAAGTCCGCAAAATAAATCCGTTTTACAAAGACGTAAAAACAAAAGCAATAACGCAGCGTTCTGTAAAGCCCGTATCACACTTCAGGCTGCTAATTCTGACTCGAACTCCTGACCCTAAGTCGATCAAAATAGAATTGGAGTTGATGCCTTGCTATGATTGATTGTATGATAATCAAGAGGCCGATTCAGTAATCGAGTCAGAGTTGGAAGTATGGTTATGTCATTTTGATCCCCTAATTGCATTGATAAATAAAATTTTACTCTTTCTGATACTGTCCTGACATCTAAGGCTACGGTCTATTTCACGCTTGATGCGCCTAATGCATCATTTATCCTTATTTAATATCTGGTAAATGGCAAGGATAAATGATGCATTAAGAGCATCATGCGTGAAACGGAATGCACCTTATCACTTTTTGTAGATTTTTTTCGTGTTCATTTATAATAAAATCTGTCCGCAGAATTGCCCTAGCCCGTCAGGATTTTGAGGAAAACTCTGTTAAATATGCTAAAAGTACTTTGATAGTTTTTCATCAATTAGATCTTCCTGTTTCGATGTAGAGCTCGAGACTTGTACTTCATATACAATTGTAAAATGCAAAAAGTTCCACGTCAAAAAAGTTTTTATGAAAAATGGATTATGCCCAGATAAATGTATTGAAAGGGACAATTTTGTTATGTTTGCATCAATAAAAACTTCTAACTGCGAAATCTTTTTGGCATGGAACTTTTTGTATTTTACAAACGCCAAAATTCTTGTCACACAGCGTTACGGACTGACTAATCTACTAATTCGGCCTATTTCAAGGAGATATCTCGTGCATCGTTACGCGCAGCCGGGCTAAAGGTTCTACTCTCCCGTGTCCCGCGTGGTGAAAGTTGGGCGTTCCTCTTTAATTCGCGGGTCGATAAATCAATTTCTTTTATCAAGGAAGCCGGGTCAACAGTAGCAACATTGCGCACCGGCGCGCCTTATTATATTTATTAATAGAAAAAGCGCGCGTAATTCACATGCCACATGCGTGCGCATGTACATTGGACCGCGCGCGAATAGTTAATTATGAATGCGATTTGCACGCTTAAAGAACCGAGCGCGCCGCGCCCATTACGACGCAGCGCAGGCTTCCCTCCTCTCGTCGATTATCCGAGATCGCCAATTAACGCACGTTCTATTTACTAATATACCGAATCGAGAGTGGAGCTAGTTTACTAGTCGTAGGAGTGCGTGCATACGGCAAGCGCGAATTCCACGATTTTTATTTACCCTTGCTTTTTTTTTAACGCATGTGCCCGCGGGCGAAGCCTCGGCGCAAGGCGGTTCTGTTGCACCTGCATCTGCATTGCATTTGCGATCGCGGTGAGCGAACCGAGCATTAAGCAAGATTCACACACGCTTGATCTGCGTCTCGTGTCTTGCTCAGAATACATTCAGAAGGATGGTCTGACATAACGGTATGAAAATTTTTTATTTCTCAAAAAGAGGATGTCCGAGGTCCTGTCGTTGTCTTGAGTAAAAGTGGATCGGTCATTAAGGGGTCATTCCACTTCAACGGCCCACAAACTATGCTTGTCTTTAACAATTTTTTTCACATTAAATACATCATACAATCACTGAAAAAAATTTCTGGTTGAATATGGACGAATCAGATAATTCCTTTAGGATTTACCAGAATTCCTTTAGGATTTACCAGAATTTCTGTAGGATTACAGGAATTCTGGTAAATCCTAAAGGAATTATCTGATTCGTCCATATTCAACCAGAAATTTTTTTCAGTGATGAGATATATATTTTTGGGATTTATTAGGGCACTCTTAAATAACATAAAAAAAATGTTTGTCATAATTTAAACAATTTTTTAATTAAGCATTTTCTACACCGTTCGAACGGCGTGTAAAAACCGACGCAAGTCCGCTGCGTCGATGACTTTTATATCACTCAGGCTTACCTGAAACAAAACATCAAAGAGATTCTTAATCTTTATGAGTGTCGCTATGTCCCGAACCTCAATTAAGAATTTTTATTTAAAAATAACAAAACGGTGTCAGTTTGAGAAAAGTTTTGAAAAGTACTTTTTAACTAAAACATTTTTTAATAAAAATTCTTAATTGAAGTTCGGGACATAGCGACACTCATATAGATTGAGAATCTTTTTGACTTTTTGTTACAGGTAAGTAAGCCTGGATGATAAAAGTCATCAACTTGCGTCTTTTTTGACACGCCATTCGAACGGTGTAGAAAACGCTTAATTAAAAAATTGTTTAAATTATGACAAAAACTTTTTGTGTTATTTAAGAGTGCCCAAATAAATCGCAAAAAGATTTATTTCATTGTATGGTGTGTTTACTGTGAAAAAAATTGTTAAAGATAAGCATAGCTCTTGGACCGTTGAAGTGGAATGACCCCTTAACACATTAAAATCGCCTCGATAAAGAAACCGTGTGGGCATGTCGTTCATTTGCTACAACAATGACATAACTCAGAAAACGGAAGTTTTCCAGAAAATCAGCTCGAATGTTCAGAAGCATTGAACTTTTTGTAATATTTATTTCAATCTTTTCATCCCCCAAGTGATATTCGCCCCCGCACATAAGTACCACAAACACTAGACAATTTATATTCAGGGATGAAAGGGTTATATGCGAATTTGGTGAAATAACTGAGTATCGAGGAAAACTGTCCAGCTACATACCTATAAGCTCTTCCTTCGGTGTATTGAATTCTCACTACTCTTTTGCAAACAACGAAAAATGGGAATTTTTTAGTTATGGCGTTGTTATAGAAACTGATGTATTGTATATTTTCTAATAAAAAATATCTTCAATCTAAGACGATAATTTCTAAATGCGTGTTTTCAAAATTATTGTAATAGTAGATAATATAAATTAAAACGGGAAAGTTGTAGTCAACCCAACTGGCACATTCCTTTATTCCTTTAATACAACGTTTCGACCCTATTTTTTGAGTCCTTCTCAAGTAATACTAAGTGAGTCATCGTCGTCACAAAGGACAGTCGAATTATGAAAATACGTGTGCATATGAGCACACTGGCTGCTGGACTCAAACTGTTTTTAATTAAACAAATTAAACAAATTGAACAAATAAAGGAATATGCAAGTTTCCCGTTTGAATTTGTAATCATCGCTGGTGACTATAAGCAAACTCTCTCTTCGTTGATAATATAAATATCTTAAAAAAGTTATCAAGTATAAGTTAGTTCAAGATAAATTCAAATTACGCAAAGATTCATCTACCATAACACGCTACTAATTTCTGTGAGACTTTAATTTTCCAACTGTTTAAATATTGAGCAATGATATTCAGCAGTCAATTTATCGTAACGCATTACCGTTTGGGAGAAGAAAAAAACCAAGTTTTAAATAGCATCAATTTCATGGCGCAGTAATTTGTATCGGCAACTACTGATAAGCGATAACGTGGTGCGGCTAAAATAAGCTCTATAACGCGTGGAAATATGCGACGTGGTTATTTGTTAATCGAGATGCCACGCCGGGGGATGTCGTATCGCCCATCGTATAATGTACATAGACAGTGCGCGACCACGAACGCTTGTGAATCAAGCTTTATTCTAGCTGCGAACAGAGGCCGACATTGCGCGATCGCGATGCTTACTCTTGCGTGGCATATCGGAGGATATAAATAAACGGCCGCAAAGCTCGTTTCCTGCACCTTTCGACTCGCTGAATGCGAGTATGCATCGTCGCGAAGAGATCGAGTCGTTGCAACTGCACGCGGTGCATCGAACTGTCGAAAGAGAAATTTCGTCGCGGTTCACACAGTAACGGATATCGGTCCAATTAGTTCTTCTTTCTCGTCTTGTTCTCTTCGTTAGGAAACGAGTGTAAATATAAATCGCGTACATTTAGACGAATCATCTTAAACGCGTTCTGCATGAGCAATTGTGCAAATTGTAACATCAGCTGTAACTGCTGTAAGGCTGCGTTTAGGAAACTTAGTAATCCAATTAATACTAAAACTCAATGTTTATACATGTATGGTATAAAATAGAATTTGTTTACATAAGTAACATGTTAAATTAACATTATCTCTCGTTATAAAAGTTTAATAAAAAATGGCGTAAATTTTACATGGTTTTTAAATCAAAAGATTGAACAATTACATCTGTAAAATGTAAGAAACGTATAAAAAATAATTTTATCGTAAAAAAAATATTAATTTTACATAAAATTTATTTCAAGTTACTTTAAAGTTTACTCTCACTTTGTTTAAAACATTAACATAGTTCAGTGCGATTATTTAACATGTACCATATATACCAACCAACGGCAACAACGATGAATAACAATACATTGCTTTTTCCGTGATCCTGCCGTAAGGCCAGATCGTTCGCTGCCCTTCCTCTCCATGCCGCTCCCGCTCAAAAGCCTCGATAATTCATTCGACGGATCTCCTTCCCTTCCATCGGCCCCTCGCGTATCCATGGGAGACCGTGAGATCGTTTTCGCCCGGGCGTGCTGCACGCCGGATAAAGAGGAAGTAAAAAGAGAAAGGTACGTGGGGCTCCCGCTCGCCGTCGCAGCCGCCGCCGCCGCCGCCGCCGCCGCCGCCACCGCCACCGCCGCCGCCATCGCCGTCGCGAGGGCAAAAGTAACCCGGCGATTCCTCTTCGATGACCGAACGAACGCCGTACGGACCGGACAGGGTCGGGGGAGAGACGCGCCGCACCGATGCATCCGCGAGGGTTTAAAAATACAAGACCGGCGTTATTCGCCGGTCCGCCCACGCGGCAGAAATGACGCTCTCTCGCGAACCGTGAGAAGAATTCGCTCGCGGGGTTCGGGAACACGTACCCGCCGCGCTGCCTCTTCCCTCGTCCCGTTCTCCTCTTCCTTTCCCCAGTCTCCTTTCTCGTCCAGCATCCCTTCCTTATCTTCGCCGTTTTTTTTTCTCTTTCTCAAACCTGCCTGCACTCTTGCAACCTGCGACCACATGTGAAGGATCGAAGTTTCGGGAGTGGGGAAGGAGATACAAGGAGGAGAAGAAGAGAAATGGAGAACCCGTGTGAATCGTCGAAATGAGCCTATCGATCCTATCACGACGCACGATATCCGGGTGTACACCCGTGTACGTGAAAATAAAACGGCGCAGCGTTACGTTCGAAGATTAATTGCTCGATACACTTTCAACATTTGATTTTGTTCGTTATCGGCTCTTTGTCTCCTATTTTTTTCCATAAGTTTTCAAAAAATATTCTTTTCCCACCCCACACATCAAATCGCGCAGCCCCGACAATTGAAGTATAAGGAGAGAGAAAGAGGGAGGGCACGGAAATCTGTAAATCTTACCTCGTTGAGGGCCATAGTCAGAGCGCCGGAAATGGTGAGTCCCTGGCGGTCCTTCAGGCCGCCCTTAACGGCCGTGAGGTAGCCGATGGTCAAGTTCTGCAGCGGCAGCGACCTAGCCGTGTCGTTGCTCGTCGCCCACAGAGTCTTATGAGAGGCTTGCTGACATTCGGTTGTTGGAGCCGCCAGAGCCGCCGGTGTTTCCGGCGGCTCAGCCTGAGCTAGAACCAGACGGTTGCTGGCCAGTAGCAGCAGCACCAGGAGGGCGTGTGAACCATGGTCGTGCGGACGCGATCGACGACGCTCCTGCTGCTGCTGCTGCTGCTGCTGCTGTTGCTGTAGGTTGTGCTCTCGACGGAGCTGCTGCTGGTGAGGATGCTGGCGACGGGGAGGCCTGCGATGGCTCGGCTGGACTGGCGGGCCGGGGTGCATGACCGCCGCCGCCACCGGTCAGCAGCACCTCCTTTCCGCTCACCTGAAAAATCCAAGGAATACGTTTTCTTCATGTGAAAGTACGAAATGGAAAGAGACACGGCGGTTGCTTGGAAGCGATTATGGAGAACATAAGTCTACAATTAATTCGATGAAAAACATGGACTAGTAACGGAGACGTAGCGGTTGCTGTTCACTATTCGTCCACTTAAATCGTGTTTCTCTTTCGAAACCATTTATGGCTTGACAGAGAATCTTTCACGCGCGGACATATCTTAACGCCGACAAAATACCCTAAAAGTTTACGTTACAACAGATCGATTGATATAAAATCTATATTGATATGTATTTTGAATATGAAGTTTAAGTTTTTCTAGGGACAGAATTATTGCACTACGCTCTTTTTTCTTATGAGTTGAATAGTTTTTAAATAGTTTTTTTTGTTCTTACCGACACGCGAGTGTACCGCGCGTGTGAGGGAGGTGCGCGCGCGAGTGCGGAGCCACGCGGACGCCTTCTCTCTTCGGGGTAACATTTTCGAATCGTACAGAACGGCTCGCGACATATCCATCCAGTCCGAGAGCCAAGCTCCGAATTCATCTTTCTAATATCCGTCGCCAGGAAGACGAGCACTTATCCCATGCACCGGGTGGCTCAGCACGAGCGCAACAATATGTACGTATAACGAATGTTACAATTCATGCAAGCACGAAACCGGTCGTGCTTGGTACCGCGGCTGTGACAATAAAACACGTCTTCCCGCTTGACTGCATTTGTCGCAAGGACACATTTGCCCGCGTGAATCGTCGTACATGCCATCTGTGTGCTTAGCTAATAATAGCCGACCTTTTATAACAATATATCGCCGCGCGATGCGATATACTGTTACGTACTCAATTGATTTGCGCGTATATATATTTTTTTAAGGCACGTTATAGGGTAAAGGCAGGCATTATGGCCAGGCGGGTAATAT